GTTTGTTTTATGAGAAATTGCCAAAACGTGAGCGGCATCCCAGAGTCGGTTGGCCCTTTCTGGCGAGGATGGGCGGAATCACACCGAGCCACAGAGACATCAAAGCGCCCAGGATCAACAGTCGCCAGGCGTGCTCGTCGATGTTTTTTCTTTTTTTGCTTTATGCTCCTCTGTGTTTTTCTTTGCCTTACTTACTTTTTTTTTGTGGCCGAGCGACGTGACAACCTTGGAGTGGCTTCAACATTTAAATGAGTTTGTGCAACATAATAAAATGGAAAACAAAACATAAATATTAGCGTCGTCAACAACATCGTCGAGCTGCGCTGAACTTTAGCCTGCTTTTTGCCACCTCGGGCCACAAATCAAAGCTCGAGCAGGTGTCAGTGCAGCAGCTCTGCAGATACCCTGCAATGGGTATGCTCAGCACCTGAATAGTACCTGTTATGCGACAGCATTCGATATTCCCCGACTTCCATAATCCTCGCACATACCCATTGTTTTGCGACATTTCATTTCCTCCCCATTGTTGCGAGTGCATTCCACATGAATCTCTGGACGAGCAGGTGGTGTCATGGGTTCAGTCCGAGATCTTTGCCCAGAGTAAATAACAACAATAGGAATAAAACAACGGGTCAGTTCCTAGTGGCAATCAGCGCGGCGGCAGCTGAATTGAATTATTTGTTTATGTCAGCAAAATGAAAGGCTTTCCATGGGAGAATTAGCAGAAAGAGCAAGTCAGTGGGTCCGGGAAATCTGCACAGCTTTACCCTCCGTTTCCCAAAAGGCTTAAACATAAAGGCCACAAATAGAACCTAGTTTAAACTGATGAGATATTTATACTTTTCCATTAATAAGAGCGCTAAGGAAAGACTGTGGGATCTGCAGCTTGCATTTAAATCAGACTTTGATGTGATTTGAGATTATGTGGCTGATGACAATGATGATGATGATGACGATCATCCATCGCCCGAGTTCCATTGACGCCCACGGAGAACGAAAGATATGGGGAAAAACTAATTAAATCAAAGCAATTGCTGCAGCGTACAGTTTAATTAAGCACATGAGACACAAGAGCGCAGCGCTAAATATTTCCTGCTGAGCAACTCGGGCAACTCGGGCAACTCGGGATCGGAATCGGAATCTTTAGCTGCATATAAATGTGGGTACCCAAGTCCCGGGGGCAACCAGGTCGCGGATTCCCAGCGGAATCTCTGGCTGGCAATCTTGGAATGATGATTGACGGCGCAATCTTCTCTACGCGGAGGATTACGGCGTCAATTGCTTTGCACTTGCTCCACATACCTAGATTCTTTGGCTTGATGTCACTCGATGCACTTTCCACCTCCACAGCCACAGTCACAGCCACAGTCACAGCCTTCACTTCCATATCCATAGCCACTTCCATTTCGCTGCAACCACACACGGCGTATGCGCAATTTACTGGTTACTTCTTGGAGGAAGGAACAGGACAGGAAAGTCTGCCTGTGTTCGCCGGGCAATTACCTTGACGCTAGTTTTTAATCAAATTTTCACATGTTTCTACCCCCAATTTCCTTCCCCACCTTCCCCCCCTATTCGAGTTCCAGTTCCATTTCCATTGCCCCTGCTTTTCCTTTTTTCGACTCACCGCTTTCCACTCCGCCTCGCTTTTCTGCGATAATTGTGGCCAAAAACACAAAGTTCTGGCTTCTGGCTTCTGGCACACATGTGTTCCTAGCAGACAGTGTCTCATTCTGTCTAATTTGAGATACTCTTTGCGGCCGAATTATGTCTACTATTGGTAGTATTATGCAATAATACTATTTCTGGCTACTAAATGATATGTTTTTTGCTTTTTATATTTGTTTTTAATGCTCGAACTAGGAGCTTGACACTTTCAGAACCACTTGAACAGGTTTTAAGGGCTTACAGAAGGAGAATGGCCTGCAGCGCATCCATCCTGTTTGTTTTTCATTTTTGGGGTCTATTGCCTGCCACGCCCTCAGGACAACCGCCCATCGGCTGGCGTGCCTTTTGGCCACAAAATGTGCGCAGTCAGTCAGTCAGTCAGTCAGTTAGTCAATAACTTTTTCTTTCGTCTTTTGCCGAAGGCGGAGGGAAATATTTCTCGATGTGTGGTGCGATCGATTTAACGAGAATTGGCTGGTTGTCTGCTGCGATTTTTGAGCATGATGAAAATAAATTGCCGGCACACATATGTGCGCCAAATTTATGACTGGCCAAAAAGGGGGAGTGGCCATAGTCTCGATGTGTAATTTGTCTTGCAGGAAATGAGGCCCGGCAGGCAAAACTAAAAAAACCAAAAAACAGAAAACAAAAAAAGGTTCAAAATGCCTTGTCCATTTGAGGGTTCAATGCACGCACACTGATTTCATGGTGGGTGTGGGATGGGGGTTTGTCGGTTGCGGGTTGTGGGTGGTGCAAATCGCGACCTTCCGCCCCAAAACTGACCCACTTGGTTGCTGGTGGCTGCCCACAAACACACTCGCGATAGCAACAAGTTGAGACAATTGACAGTAGCCAGGCATTCTGTCTGCTTATTTTTCTCCTCTGCTTTTCTTCTCACTTGCATAAATCTAGATGCAGTTGCAGTTGCAGATGCAGATACATTTCGCGAAAATGGGTTCAAGGACACTGCGTTGTCATCTAATTGGGCGGGCACATAAATAACATTTCTCATTGTTTCCACGCCAGCGTATTTATTTATGTTCGCCGTTCGCACGTTGCGTATGCGTAATAATTCATTTCGACACTCATTTGGGATTGCATATGTCATTTACAGTGGTGGCAGCAATCACTGAATGTTGCATTTATAACTATATTCTGTGCCGAAACAATTAAAGCTGAAGCCTTGCGATTGAGGGTATCACATTAAGCTAACAAAAGTATTCCAAGAAACGCAATAGTTGTATTAAATAGATTTAGCAAAGAATATCTATGCTGATTACAGCTCAATGTGGAATATTCAGGCTTCACTGTTCATTTGATGGTCATTTGGTGGGCCGCACAGTTTGGTAGCCACTGTAGTGATCAGGCCATGCTGGTTTTTGCATTAGCGAACAGCTCGAGTAATCACAATAAACGCCAGGAATCTGTGTCAAGCATGCGGACGACTGGCCGTCCGCCCTGAACTGAAAATAGGGGCTATAAACGAGCAGCAGATGCCACCTCATCCCACAAATGTGGCAGGAATCGTTTGGGAATCGCGATCGGAATAGTAGGGCCATCAAATTGTAAAGCTGACTTAAAGCTGAGAGTAGTTTTCTGCGTTGGTGGGAATCGGGCAATTAAGCTAATCATTCAAGTTAATTTATGAGCCAGCAAATCGATGGGAGGCGCTCTTTATCGTGAGTCGATAGCTTAGACCTGATTTCAGCAGCATTATTATGTGTAACACACACCAAGCAAGCCCAAACTTGCCGGAAAAAACATGGCCAACTCCAAAGTCGTGGCACGTGACTATGCAGCTTCATAAGGCAGCCGTTTGGCCGCAAAAAAAAAAAAACACAAAGCAACACAGTTTTCACCCTCAGCCATCCAGACCACCGAAAACCAGAAAAGCAGACACAGCGCAGACAACACTTAAAACTGAAAACAACAATGAAACCAAAACAATCCGACGTGATTTGTCACTGGAAGTTGATTCAACTTTGATTTTAAGCAAGTGCCGCTTAGTAGGTTTTCACAAATTTGCTGCTCGATTTATGAAATCTAATTTTCAGTGAGCTAAGGTTCAAGGTTTTAATGAAACATTACTACTACTTCTGTATGAGTACTATAAATTGATACCTAATGTGCATAATTGAGTTACTTTTAACGATTTCCCGGTATTGTGTGCTGACAAGTTAAAACGAAAGTACACCCTTTCATATGTATGTTTTCAACTCCTACTTTCCCATCCATAAATGCTATCTGCCATTCCCATGTCTTTCCATTATCTTTTTAGTTTATCGAAGTATTTCGATAAGAGGATAGGAGGTGCACGGGCCATGCACATTTGGCCCACATTCCCAGTATCACACTGCAAAAAAGAATAGGTACAAAAGTTTTCCTGGAGCATGAAAAAGCATCGAACATCGATTTCGTGGCCAGATATGATCTTTCTCTTGGTGGGCGGAGGTGGTGTGATCAGGGGCGGGGCAGTATTGTGTGTGTGTGTGTGTTCAACATGCTGAACATGCAGGGCAAGTGCTTTTTATCAGCGAAGGCAACAATAAATATGACGTAGCACGCGTTTTCCCTGACACTTCCACTCAACAGAGGAATACAATATAGGAGTGGGGGAGTTGAACATTAGAGTCTGGATGGAGGCAGCACGAAAATAGAGCCAGCACCGATTACCGAAGTGGGAATGAAGAGGAATTGACACTTGAAATCAATGCTCAATTAAAAAGTCGACGAAAATAGATCGGAAGTGGGTGAAAAAATCAGGGGGGAAAGGGCATGTGTTGCCTTAAAAAGGGTTTTAAAAGTGAACAAATTAATGGAGAGCTCACCGGCTGAAAGTCTTAAGCTTGATGCGTTTGCTGGACATGTAAGCGCTGACAACAAACGTTTTGATTTTATTTTGAAGCCCAAAAAGTTTTCAATTTAGATAAAATAATAACTAGCGATAAAATAACAGTTTTCGAGCTCACATGAATGTTAGGCTAACAGTGCTGCTATAACAGTAACTGTGGTGAAACCTTAGCCGAGACACAATTGCTCTCAAACTTTAGTCGTCACTTGCATTGCTTAGCGTGGACAACAACCCAAGGAAAAGTTCCCTTGCATTATCTGGAAAATAATCAACAAAAGCTGCTCCAAAAGCGGAAGTGGGGAAAATGGGAAAACTATGCACCCTTGATTAGAAATAAGTGCAGGGATTCGCATTTAAAAATAAGCTTGTGCTGGGTGATAACATCTACATGTTGTGATTTGTCGCCTTTTTACGACTGACGATCTTGTTGGTATTTCCTAATATCTGTACTAATATGCTTAAATGATTTCTGCTCTTTTAGCAAGTTTCACAACTTAGCGATGACCAAGATTTTATGCTGGCGGATGATGCGTCGCTTCAGGGCATCAACGATTCCGAGTGGCAGGCCCCAAGTGTTGACGACGTCCCTCTGGACGACTTCTATGAGGCACTGAAGCCCATGGAGGACAAGTTCGAGGAGAAGGACTTGCCCACTGGCAACTGGTTCAGCCAGAGTGTTCATCGCGTTCGCCGTTCCATAAATCGTTTCTTTGGTAACAATGACGATCAGGAGCGGGAACGGGAACGGGAAAGGGAACGAGAACGGGAACTGGAACAACGACGAGAACGGGAACTGGAACAACGACGACAACGTGAACGGGCACAAAGGAATCGCGATGCGATTAATCGGCAAAAAGAATTGCGCCGCAAACAAAAGGAGAACCAGAACCAAATGAAGCAAATGCGAAAGGAGCACCAGCTGGAGAAACAGCGCCTGGCCAGACGGGCCAATCATGTTGCCTTCAACAGCGCCACCAATCCTCGCAAGCGGGCATCGGACCTTTACGACGAGAACGAGGCATCCGGCTATCATGAGGAGGAAACCACCATCTGTAAGCTTAATCATGTAATGCTCAAAGTTTAAGCCTATTCATGAAAACTGTGCGTTTATCCTGTTCCAATTAGATCGTACCTTCTTCGTCGTCAACGAACCCTATACCAACGAATACAGAGATCGCGAAAGCGAACAGTTCCAGAACCTGCAAAAACTACTGGACGATGATTTGCGCAGCTTTTTCCACAGCAACTACGAAGGTAACGATGACGAGGAGCTGGAAATTCGCAGCACCCTGGAGCGCGTTGAGTGAGTGCAAACACATTTCTTAGAATCTCGTTCGTTTTGCTTATTCTGATCAAATCACTTACCTGATCCAGACCCACCAAAGATCACTTCAAAATTCGCGTACAACTCAGAATAGAGCTGCCCACTTCTACCACCGACTTCGGAAGTAAATTGCAGCAGCAACTGATTAAATACAATCGTATCGATCACTTGGGTGCCGTCACAGATGGCGTCTTCTCCTTCACAGAATCCAGTGGTAAGTTCCTATGAATCCATTGCTATATTTCTCTGCGACTTTCCACGTAGGTTTGGTGTAAGACGCAGCTTGTAGCAATCTTAACTTTTAAATTCCCGAGCAGCGGATGCAAACTGGTAAAACCCACTTTGGGTATGGGAGAATCAACCTTATATACTCGTATAAGCATGATTCTTTTATCGGTTTGCATCCCTCGCCCTTTATCCAAATCATGATACCCAAACTCTTTCTCTACCCGAAAACCCTTGAAAATCAACCAATGTTCAAACCCAAAAGTGAATGAAGAAGCATTTCAACGTGGCGATCCGGGCTTGGAGGAAACGACGCCTAACATTTTCATTATACCGCCAATTAAATCAGTTTATCCGCCAACATTAAACGACGAAGTCCAAGGTTTGTCCACCCCACCGACGGATACCAATAATTCGAAAATTACGAGATTGCCACATGTTTGATTAACCCGGCAAACCTCGCAGCGCGAAAATAGATCTTATATTGCTAACACGAGTGTGGGTCTGCTCTGGTTTTTGTTCGCAGTAAATACTGTAATTGGCTTACATGCCTGAAGAACAACGTTTTAGATTCTTATATATTGTAGGATTCTCATCTGCGAGTATATGTAGTATATCTAGCAAAAGTGTGAACAATTTTAATAATTTAGTTAATATGAGAATTGAAATGATATCCGGAGTGGACCTGTATGTAATTGTGCTTTTGGATGATGACCTGTATGTGTTTGTGTGACCTCTTGTGACCTCTCGACCTCCGTGAACGTCCCTCATAATCAAAAGTTGTGCCGCTTCATGCCATCCGCTCCACTCTATATCCATTTCTGTGATCTCTGTCTGAAATCCTGTATTTATGTCATTGGGAAACTACCCAGAACTTCAATGTCCCATAGCTAATCCACTTTGTGACCTCACAGATTTCGATGATGAGGTAATCGATGTTACATTGCCCACGGACGAGGTAGAGGGCTCTGGTAGCGATCCCTTCAGCTGTCGCGGAGACGCCACCTTCACCTGTCACCGGAGCGGAAAACTCATTTGCGATGAAATGCGATGCGATAGGGAGATCCAATGTCCCGACGGCGAGGACGAAGAGTACTGCAACTATCCAATTGGTAAATGTCGCGGCAGCTTAATAACAGATCATATCGAGATCTCTTTAACTCATCACCGATCGTTTGGCATTGTCAGATCGCCACACCTCCATCCATACTAAAAACTATTCCAAAGTGGCCTCATCAAATAGTCGAATATTTCTTCTAATTCTTCACATCGTCAATAGAGCTGCAAAACAGTTGATACAATTTCGATGATTCTTCTAAATATATATTTGGAAAATCTTGGTTTAGGGATACCTGGTTTTCCGTAGAATCGAGATAAATTCATGTCGTTGATGCTTTGCAGCTCTATAACCCATCTAACCTATTCAAAAGTATGAGCTCTTCAACCCATCTAACCTATTCAAAAGTATGAGAATTTTCACTCTAGTATTTAGTGATCGTTCATTTACATTTGATTTGGCTTTTTTGCATTGCTTTTATTTATTACATTTTGATTTTGTTTCGTATCTCATTTTAATTTGACGCGCCTCAGTTTGCACTGAAGATCAGTTTAAGTGCGACGAGAAGTGTCTGCCCCTCGAAAAGCACTGTGATAAACATGTCGATTGTCTGGATCAGACCGACGAGGCTGGCTGTGTTTATGTAGAATCACAACCTGAACCGCAGCCCGAACCTGAACCTGAACCAGAGCCGGAACCTGAACCTGAACCTGAACCTGAACCAGAGCCGGAACCGGAGCCTGATCAAGAAGCTGAACTCCCAGTACCGGAAAATAATGGTAAGTTTTATCGATTATTTTGCATAATTTTTATCGATTATTTTGTATGTGATTTTATTTTTGTACCTTAAGAGCCCCACTTTGGGTTTGGGTTGAAAACTGTCAGATTAGGTTAGATATAATACGGGAATTTACGTATTATGCCATAGTTTTCTTTGGTTATCCTTTAAGTGTGTCTGCTGGCATCTCTGTTCGTTCACATTCGCCTACTTTGGGTGATCTCATTGGCCAAAGATCCGCGTTCGGCGATCGTTCATTAGTTCGCAACCAGAACTATGCTCGCTGTAATGGCCAAATAAATTCCGCTTATTAATTGGCCCGATAAGCAAATATTTCCACCGAGTGCCACTCATGCCATGGCCAGTTCATTTCGTTCTTTGTAATATCTTTTGTATTTTATTTATGGACTCGTTTGCTCATTGTTGTGTTCTTTCAACTTGAATAAAGTTCCTTTTCGCTGGCAGTCAATTGGGTTAAATATTTGCTGTTTTCTAATGGATTTCCAATGCATCGGAATTTATTGGTCCCCTTTAAAGGCGGCGTCTTTTGGCACGTAATCGAATACGTTCCAATCCAGTCAATGCAAAGGCATTTGGGTCAAAAAAGTTGCTGCAAATTTGGATAATTTGCTATAAGCGGGAACGGATTCCTGGAATTGTGCATTTACTCATCTCTGCCATAAGTCAAACATTTTATGTGGACGAGGTTTCACTTCTAGAAACCTCTCTGCTACTTGAACCTTTGACCCTGAACACTTTGTATCCAGCTTACCAACTCCATACCGCTTCCTTGGCCCTCCAAACAAACTCATGCTGTGCACAAAACCCAACATACATAAATGTAAATAGCAGCGGAGACAAAAACAAGGCGAAACAAGCGTTCTACCAAAAAGTGAAATTACAAACCAACTTCGCCCGCCACCACCCACCAACCGCCCAGCACGAAACGCAATTGTAGCAAGCCAAAAAACCAGATTACAATATCCATGAAATATGCCACAAAAGTCGGGAGAAAAAATATGTTATATAGATGGTGATTTGAGGTCTGACAGGCAGTGTGTGTCCGTGGAGAGTGTGTGTGTGTGTGTGTGTGTGTGAGTGTTTTCTTTTTTTGTTTTCTAATATTTTCATTTTTGGTGGGGGTACCGCTGCACTGCGGTGAGGTCGACAGCTAACAGCAAAAACAATTTGCAACAGATTAAAATTACCCCTAAGCGTATTATAAACTTAAATAAACCTCTTGCAGTGCAAGTACAGCGAGAACCACCCCCGAGGTCCCAAATCCCAAATCCTGACTCCTTACATCCTTACATCCAGCTCGCAGATTCCCAGCTCGCTTTTACTACTTTTTGGGGGCGTGTTAAGTGCTGTCAACGAGATTAAATGCAATGCCGGAGGTCGCCACCCACCAAAAACCAAAGGCCAAACGCCAAACACCAAACACCAAATGGCACACACGCACCCAAAAAGAACGGCGAAAAAAGTTGTGTCCTTGGAAATTTAATGAATTTTCAACACTCCACTTCGGTGGCATCCAAAGGGAAAAGGGGAAAGAAGCTGTAGCTGCAAAATGGGTGGGAAATGGGATACGCTGGAATTAGTTGGGATTGTTTTTCGGATGTCGTCCAGCGTGACTTCTTTGAAGTTCGCTTTTGGCAATTGAGAAAATTATCAAAATGCATTTAATAATTACTAATAGGACACATAGATACGCGCACATACATCTTTTTAGTAATTATTAAATGTACTAACAAGCCACACAGATACGCACTCACACACATATGATGTTTGATATTTGATTCCTACACTGCTGTATTTATACATAACTCATTTCTTGGATATCCGCCAAGAACCCTTGAATTTGACTCTTTCTCATGAGGCTCCCCTTTGGCTTTTGGGTTAATGAAGGCAATATTCGTTGATTTGAATGCAGAAATAACTTACGTATTTCTACACTTTCCACATTTAAGTCATTTTTTTGTTGTCTCTGTTCTGAAATCCGAAACATCTCGGGATTTTCGGATGGTTTCGAAAGTGCGTCAATGGAAGCTGTGCACAGCTTGCACTTGAAGCTTGAATTGTGTGCTGGTTGCCTTCGCTTTTATGATTGTGCAACGTACATATATATGTATATACAATATGCATGTAGTTGGGTAATTACCGCCCTTCGTCCTCTTCTCGCCCAGAAAATGTTGTAATTTGGTATTCAAAGTTGAATTTATGTAGCACATATATTTGTTGTACGCTTTTGCGGCTGCATTGGCTTTGTTGTTGATTAAATTTGGCCAAAGACAACTTGCACTTTTCCCCCCCCGTTTTTTTTTTTTTTATATTTTTTGCGCGCTACTCAATTAGCGGCTTCAGTTGCCTGAACTGTGTTAAATGGCTGCAGATTTCAATGTGCTCGCCCAGCAACCACACACGAGTGGCAGAAAATGCAAAAAAATCAGTGCAAAACAACAATGCACAATGCTCAAATGGACAAGGAAAGTGGGCAACATCTAGGTGGCCACACATATGCAAATTGAATTTGCCAGCCAACGCTTTTCTTTTCTCTCCGAGCGCCAAAAAGGGCGAAAATTAAGCCAAGAAAGAAGTACACAAAACCAGCAAACAGCTAAACCAAGGGGGGACAGACAAAATATATAGAATGCTTGGTATAGGAAAACAGAAAGCGGACTCAGTGATACCCTGTACAAATATATCAAATACCAAGGGAATACCCTACAAAAAAATATATAAAATACATACACAAAGCCAAGTTTACTAACAAACTGTTCTTCGTACGTTGCGTAATCAGTGAAATAGGTACATATGTTTGCGTTTTCAAGTTTGAAATTAGCCACCTTTCAATGTACAAGGAAGTGGCAGTGGCAAGTGGCAAGAGCCACTGTAGTGTGCAGCTACCCAGCGAATCAAAGAGCTGCGGAAAATGTGCTGAAATCATAAAAAAGCATAACAGCAAACAATGCCACTCCCCCTGCCACGCCCCCGCCCCTCGGGGAGTCGTGCATGTCTGATGAGCTTTGCTTGAGTGTGTGCCCTTGGTTGCGTTTACACGTCTGCTGTTTGCAATACCTCGTACTCCATTTCTATTATTTTCAAAATGTAGCTTACTTTTGTTTTTGCATTGTTGAACTAAAAAGGTGCAAACCTATTTGTATGAGCTATACGGCAATGTATTAGCCAGCGAAACATTTTATTCGAGTTTATTTTGTTCGAGTTCAAGGCATGCGTATAAACGTTAATTGTGTTGCGAAGGAAAAGTGAAAAGCTTGGCGCGCCGATGTTGCTTTCTTTGGCACTGCATGCTCGCTTCCATGAACAACATAGAGTGCCAGAAATAAAGCTAATTAAAATGTATCAAGCCAAATGTGTGAAATTGGCTTCGAATGTATAAAATAAGAATTCATTTAAATCTTTGGCGCAAGCGCAGCATTTTCAAGAATTTCCAAACGGCAGCAACATGCTGCGGCCAGCGAAAGGCGAACCTTCGGCAACATGTTGCTTTCACCTGGTTGGCTGCTTGGCAAATGCTCGGTCTTCGCTCTGTTCGGGTTTTATACGTGTTTGCGCCCGATGTCGTCATCTTCGGCCTTCGGCTTTTGTATTCGTGTTCGCTGTGCGCCCATCAACATTTACGGCCGCATCAATGTTGCCAATATAGCACATTTGCCCACTGAATTAGGTGTTATTTTTCGAAAATGTTAAGCATACTTAATTAGGCAGCTGTATAAAATATAAGGTATAAGAAGTGCTTAAACAATAATTAACAGATAGCTTAGTGTAATGTAAATGTAAATGTAAATGTACAGGCAGCGTGCTTTATCCTCTTTGACTACATGTTATCAAATACTCAGTATGCATATTTCGCAACATCCCTTGCCCATCTTCCAAAGTTGTCAGTTGTGTTTGCTGTTCCATTGAGATGCTTGGCAACACGGGCAACATTGTCGGCGCAGCTCGGCAACATTCCGCTACGCCTGCTCAACGAACGCTTGCGAGGCTTTTGCATTTTCAGTTAGTTCAGTTCAACGTGAAGCGTTTGCGTGTGCGTTACGTTGGCGCGTCTTTGGCTCCAGCTCAATAGTATCAGAAGCATCCTTTCCTCTCGACTCAATTCTCCCAGAAGTCGGCCCAGTTGTAATTCGAATAAACGTGTAATCTCATTTTTTGTTACTATTTTTTTTTCAATTGTGTTGTGTTTCTATGAGAGAAACCAAAAAAAAAAAAAAAAAAAAAAAAAAAACAGCCTTTGGTGTGCGAAATCCTCTGAAAATTCTGTTCGGTGCGTGTGATCTCAGCTTTGTGAGAAGTTATCTCTCTCCAGTGATTATTATATATTATTAGCTGATCCTTTTCTTGGGCGCCTGCCTCGATTTCCTTTAAACAGATTACCGATTACCTTTTCGTATAGTTTTGATAGCCTGCAAACTCTGGCTGAGTTCCTGTAAATTAGCATTTTCCAAAAAGGCTTTTTGGTACAATAGAAAAAAAGTGTATCTTGTGAAAGCAACAAATCTATAGCTCTTACTTCTATAGTTCTAGATTTCTTTTCTTTACTTTTATTAACTAAGAAGTAGTTTACATTCTGGTGTATCCCCAAAACTTCATGGTCCCCGAAATTCGTTGAAGCCAACAAATCAGACCATCGAACAAGATCAGTTAAAATCGAACTAACTGCTCATTTATACCAAACAATGTTTGCTCAGCTCACTCATTGTGAATGAATGAAAGCAAATATTTGCCATCGGTTCGGTTCGGTTCGGTTATTAATTTAGCGAGCTGACATCTTGTGGTTCCCCATGTTATTGTTGCTCTTGCGGTTGCATTTGAGGTGACTGCTATTAATGCCATTAATGCCATCAATGTTGTGATTGTGATTGTGATGCGATTGCACATTGCCGTCGCCTGTTGCCAGGTCGTAAATCTCAATCAAAGAAGTTCGAAGGAGCCGAGAGTGGAGATTGGGCAAATAAATCTCGTTCGGTGGATACAAAA